GACCATTTGGGAAATCTGGCATAACATATTCTAGGAAGTGTCTTAAGACTGGAGCTGTCTAAAGCCATTGAGCTTTTACAGCACTTTCCGTGTAGGGCACTACAGTTTCTAGTGTGGAAAAATAAGGGACTGACTCTTTCCTGCATGTGACTGACTTGTGTTTCTGTTTACACCTTCACACAGAGAGTGATCAGAGTTACCAATTCAGCTGGCTGATACCTTACAGCCAAAGCAAGGGTATGAAAAGAATAGTAAAGAACTGGGCCCTGAAATTTCCAGTTTTGTTTGTGAATTGTGCAGATCTTGGCCACATGTATCCTCTGTGTATAGCAGCTTTGCACTTGGAAAAATTACTTCTCCATAAAAGAGTTTCATTCTAGAAGTATAAGCAAGTATGTGGCAGTGTGTTGGCGTGAGAGGGAGTGGGATGCAGCCGGACACCATTTGGGGATTGATCTGACAGTGGCAACAAAATGGGAGTCACTTGGACAGTGCTCTATCATGAGACAGATATTCATTAGGAACCAGACTAGAGCTGAAGGAATATTTCAAAGAAATTAAATTAGATGAAATTTCCCTGCAACTGTGCACACCCCAAATGCCACCTGCTGGAACTGGACCTCATGGAATTGTCATTGCTGCTTTAGGAACACACATGGCTGTGCTCCGGCTGCTTGACATGCGAAAACCAGCACAGGGGTGTACTGTAATTGTGGGAAGAGGATTTATTTCACCAGCAGGATTTGTGCACAACACACAGTTAGTGTCTGGTGATCAGAGTATTCACTAGCAGAGTGCATGCAGCGAGAATGAAATGCATCTTACAGCCATCCCTTTATATTAAAGCTGTAACACACTGTGTTTGGATGCAAGCCCAGGCACAGTCCTGTGTAAGATCTTGTTTACCCTTTCATCGTGAGCGTTCCTGCAAACTGCTGCTTTCTCACTTTCAGCTCGTTTTCAGTTTTACATGGGGATGGTGAGGCAGGTTTGTGAAAACACAGTGGCAAATCAGTGACCTCACAGTGTGCTGTAAATGCCAGGAACCCTGTGGAGAATATAAACACAATTAACCATGTAAAGTGAGATATAAGAGAGGAACCTGCATGTAGATATACAGCAAGGGAGTTGGCAAGCTGTAAAATAGGGACTTGGGAAAAGTCATGAAAATAGAGAAATTCCTCATTTTCTTGCTCACATCTTTTCATCAAGAAGCAGAGTGGCAGTGGATAAGGATGCAGAATAGCATGGAGGGCTGAAAAATGATGGCAGGAGCTTCCGGAATGCTCCCAGGCCCTGGCGCAGAATGCCTTGCCAGGGCAGCAGTGCAACAGTACAACAGGGCAGCTCAGCACAGCAAAGCAAAGCACAGTTCAGTGTTAGTACAGCACAGCACAGTGTTGGCACAGCACAGCTCAGCACAGCCCAGCACAGCGTTAGCACAAGAGTGGCACAGCCCAGCACAGCTCAGCTCAGCACAGCCCAGCACAGCACAGCACAGCACAGCCCAGCACAGCCCAGCACAGCACAGCACAGCACAGCACGGCACAGCAGTCTCCTGACATCTTGTGGCTTGGCCGCAGAGCACAGCCATCCCTTCCCCCACATCCCCAGGCACGGGTGTCAGCTGGAGCTGACCTTGGCATTAACTGCAGCCACTGGAGAGCCTTATATATCCCTGCATTCCTCTCACAAATACAGGGCCACTGCTTTTCTCTCCTGGGCTAGAATGAAGGAGTGTGGGTGAGACTGTTTTCCCCGGCAGTTGTGCATGATGCTTGCTCAGATTTACACCAAAGAGGCACGTAAATTGGCAGACAAAGTCTACCTAAACAGGATCCCAGGTTCTAGATCTGCCATTAAGTAGTAGAACAAAACCCAGATCCAAACATCCCAATTTTGGTGTAATCTCTTCAGCTCCACCAGCTCACTGATGCAATCAGGGTCTGCTGATCGGAATTGTTCATTTCTTTTGGTTGCAGTGACCCAGCTTCAATGCCAGTCATGCATGGTCTCTAGAGGGAAGGATAGGAATTTTAACTATTTAATAAGGTGCACTTATTTTTAGACATTGATTACATTTTTTAAAAAACATGGATATCTAGAATGTTAAATTTATACACATACAGAAACCCACACAATGCAGTCCTAGCCTCCATTGTCTAAAAATACAGCTGGCTCTGGAAATATTGATGGTAAAGTCTTTTGTCTCCTCTAAGGATCTGAGACTCGCTCTGATATTTGCCAAAGTTACTCAGTTTCAGAACTGGCAAAATGATGAATTGTGTAAGCAGAGAAATCAAATAATTTTCCTGGTGTTGGTCCCGATGAATCTCCTCTGGGTTACTCATTACACCAGGCTCTTACTCGGGGCTTGATTTGCAGTGGGAGGGCAGAGAACAGCCAGAGCTGGGGCTGGAGCTTTTGAACACCATGGCTGGGACTGGTGAAAGCTCAGGCTGGAGTTACAGAGCTGTTGAGTGATGAGGAAGGAGGAGGAAATTAACTCAGCTATTTTTTGCAAGTTTATTACACACATTTTATTCTACAGATTGGCAAAATATGATGCTGAGGAAAAGACACTTTGACCATTGGTTCCCTGGCAGCCCTGTGTGGAGGAGCTGCTTCCCCACCCTGCTCCCTTCCCTTGTCTAGGAAGCATGGTTCAAAGAGGGAGGGAAATTACATGGAAAAGGGAGAGAGGGCTCACGCTGATGTGGAGCCCTGGGGGGAAACCTGTAGCCTGCATTAGGACTTGAGAAAGATTATCAGCACTTTCCAAGATGCTTGGCAGGAAATACATGGAGAAAGTAATATGGTCAGTTTGTAAGAATTCATCCCCATTCCCATTCTCCTCACATTCTTTTACAGTTTGGCAGTTAACCTCTGAGGACACCCTCGTGCAGAGATGGCAGCAGAAGGAGACAGAGCAGTGTGGCTGGGAAGCACTGTGAGAAGCTGAAATCTCCTTTTCCCTCATGTCTGTGGGATTTCCAGCACATCTGCATTATAGGGAGGTAGGCACACCTGTTTGGATACCACTGCAGCCTCTTCTTCACCATTCTTCACCACACACAATTCCAGCAAGGGCTGTTATGGGAAAGCCAAGCAGTTAAAAAAGCTTCAGCTGGTTTGTTTGAAAAAGTGTGGAATGGAGAAAGTGGCACTAATACAAGAGGTTTCTCCCTCTACTCTCTATTTTTCAATATACTTAAAGCTTGTAATTTAAGAAAGATCCAAAGGAGTAAACTTTCACACACTTCATACAATGCCTTTGAATGTGTCACAGACTTGGCTGGAAACAGAAACTGAGCTAATGAGCAGATGCTGTGCTTTGTGATGAAACTTGCACTAAGGTTTTATAAGATAAATTGTCCCTGACTTCATGCTACCCACACGACAATTATGGTTACTGCAGCAGTGACAGCAGGACAGACAGACCATGTCCAGTTCAGCTCCATCAGTCCCTTTGTAAAAGGCTGCTGCAAGTAGACAATTGACTATCTGTGGCTTGTGGCTCTTCTCTCAAGAGAAGTTATAAACTGAAAGTTATACGAAGTGTTATATAATGTACAAAAATTGAAGGAATTAAATTTTTGTTTAAAAATACCTACTTTAAAATGTACTTATATAAAAATGTGTATTCATACACCCACATGCAAAACTACACATATGTGAAAGCATGTTTCATTCAAATTTCAAAAGAAATTGCATTTTTGAAAATATATATTCAATGTTCCATTGCTGCAAACCAAAGTCATCTGTTTATTTGACAGCTAAAGAGGGTGAAGGCAGCTGCAATTTGAGCTTCTCTGCACTCGCCAGCTGTAGCTTAAAGCCAGTAAACTGGAAGGGGGAGGTGAATTAACCCCACTAGTTTGTCTTAGAAATTGTCACTGTACAGGATAGCTTTGAAATTCCAAGGGTTATGATTCTTCTAGGAACTGTTGGGCTAATATTGGTTTATATTTTCTTAAAGCCAAATGGTGTCTGTAAGCTCAGCATCAGGCAACCTCCAGCACCACACCCTGGCTCAGGGCCACCAGTACAGAAACAAATGCATCACTTGCTTTTTCCGTACTTGCCATTTGTTTCTCTCAGTTGTCTTTGAGTCACTGTCAAGATGCTGTATGTGGTACTCACTTACAAACACCAGGAGTATGGGGTCATTGCTAGAAACTAGAAACATCAAGCAGATCAGGTCCAGCTCCTCAGGGTGTCTTTAGAGGATGCCCTGCTCTTGATGTGTATCTGGGAGAGAGAAGTGTTACCTTGCTTCAGCAGCTGCCTGTGCAGAGCTGGCACAATGGCGTGGACAAGGGGCTTATTTGAATGGGCAGCTAGAAGAAAGAGATGGGGAGGATGTGATTTATATCCATTTCATTATTTTCAGTGACAAAATGCTGCAAATAAGCTGGTAATAGCTGGATTTCTTGGGTGAGCCCAAAGCCCAGTGTGTGTGTGGCTGGTTCCCAGATCACCCCATGTGATACCTGGGGGTGGGAACCCTCACATCAGCACACTTTTGCAGCAACATGCAGCCTGTTTGTCACCACTCTGAACTGGCTGTAGTGGTTTCTTTATTCATCCTTTCTCTGCACACAGGTTTTGTGATTTCCAAATCACAATCTAAAATCTCTTAACAAGCCATGTTGAAAAGCAATGTTGAATATATAAGCATGCAGTCTGGAAGCACTGCCATATTTTTCTCTGAAGAATTTGTTTAGGTTACATAAAATAAATAGACAGGAACCCTTGGGCTTTCATTTGATGGTTCTCCCTCTGTTCTGCTTGGCTTCTCAGCTTTCAATAGATCCCAAGGTCAGGCTGTTATTTGTTGCTAGGCCAAAGTGGCAACCTCCCACCCTAACAATGCTGCTATCTTCATATCATCTGAGCTATGGGGGCCACATTGTGATGCTTTGGCAGTGTTGCTAGGGAGGTTGCTAGGTTAGACTGATGTCACTATGTGGGTTATAAATTGCCTTTACCCTGCTGGCCTTAACTTGGCCCCTAACACAATGATCTAGTAGATGGCATCAAAGTGTTCAGAAGAGACATTGGAGCAACATCTTCGGATCCTGAACTTGGTAGCAAGCACATGTTGGAGCCATTCAGTAATCTAGAGAAGAAACTAAACAGTTGTATGAAACTCATTCCTTCATGTTCAGAAATCAGCAACATTCATGCAAAATACCCAGTTTTTACCCACGTGCATGTGCTAAACCCAAGGCTTTACCTTAATGCAGGCTATGTGCCATCTACATGCCCCACTGTTAAGAAGAGGAAAGAAGTTTTATGATGATAAAAGGATGACCTGAGGAAACCAGGTAGGGGAACTGAGAATTTCCCAGTTTTGAGTACTGTGTGTCATAATTGCAACTCTACTAAAATGTGCCACAAATGCCTTTAATACCACGAAAATGACATTCCACATAGTCAGGTTATTTACACATTCCTAGTTTGTGACCTCAAGGGATGTTTTAATCTTGCTTGTTACAAAAAATAACAATAGCTGAAGAATAATTTTAATTGATTTTTCAACATATTAACATATTAAATTTTAAAATTCCATATTCTGCAGAATATAAGGTGTGTGTGCACACATGTGTGCTCATGTGTGCATTTCATTTGTTTTGAAAAGGAATAAATAAAATTAGATAAACATGCATGCCCTTCAGAGCTGTTCTGGTTTAATAAGTAAATACATAATTAGACAGGCTTTTCTTTATGCATGATGTCTTGATATGCAGGGCTTTAACTGCACACCTCTCATCAGCCTTAATGAAATTTATGTGACTAAATCCCCATGCATTGTGTTGAATATACACCTTGGTATATTTGTAATTAATTTTTAAAGACTGCAGACCAGAACACAGCTCCTACAGTGCCATGTGAATCCATAGGGTGTATACATATTTATAAATGTTTTAAAAATGCATATTATGTTTCACCCACAGAGCATAACATCTCTGCTGGCTGGAAACATGTATTAAAGAAGGTAACAAAAATCCAGAGGAAATGTCTTTGAAAAATAGTTAATACACATGGGCTACAGCTGCCTTTTAAAGATTAATTTCTTGGCCATTTACAATGTGGTTTTTATTATCAAAAGCCAATGGAGCATATTACCAAAATCTTGCTTTGTAAATTCCTTTTGCGCTTCTTGGGCCTGTTCTGTTCCACAGAATTTGGTCCTTTCCTTGGCAGACTGACACTGTTGTTCACTCAGAGCTGGGCCTGGGGTGTCCCAGCTTAGTGCATGTCCTGCTTGGTGTCACTGGAGGAAGCAGCACTCCTTGTGTGTGTCCTGAACAGTTGAGGGGAGGAAAAAGATGGAGATCTGAGGCTTTGTTTAAAATGCGGTTTGCAAGGCTGCAAACATAACTTTGCAGAGTCATACACATGGGTGTAGATATTTGCATGCATTAAATATGTGGAAGAGTTTAGAGAGCTGGAATCATACTTTTAAAAATGTGGTCTTATTGAAGCTGCACTAGTTCTAACTGGATTATTATAATTTCTTTCAGTTGTTGATTCCCTATAGCATTTGAAAATGAACTAAAGACTATAAAAAACACTTACTGCTTATTATTTTCTTTTTCCTTTTCCTGGCCTTCCCCTTTTTTTCTCTCAAGACTTCCAGAGTTTAGCTTAGTGCCATGTAATCCTCCTTTTCAATATGGAACTGGACAGAATGTAAAAGCACACACCTCTGTGCATACAGTAAATCCTGACCTGTCTCTGTTTCAGCCTCTACACAGCAACACTTCTTATATGCAAAGAATTCAGGCTCTCTACACTTCCTCAGATCCAAAATCAAACCTTTTCAGGTTCCTCTTAGACCCATAAAAAACAAGGGTGGGAGTGGAGAGGGAGAATGAAGCCAGTAGCTGTTAAATCCTGCCAAGGAGTAGCCTGAGGAAGAGAAAAGAAACTGCAGGCTCAGAGCTGTATTAAGCACAATAAATTGCCCTTACCCCTTAGCAAGCCATGAGGGGATGGACAGTCTGCTGGGGTGGATCCCAGACATGGGCGAGTGCCTTTCCCAGAGCAGAGGCTTGTCCTCTGTGACCTTGGGCAAATCATTTAACCTCTCTCCGTATCACTGTTCTGTTTCTGAAATGAAAATAAACGGCAGTAATGCACCAGGAAAGCTAAATGTGGTGGTGATTACAAGGGGCTCAGATGAGGATGAAGGTGAGATAAATACTTGAGACAGATTTTAAAAAAATCCTTCCTCTACTCCAGTGAAACCTTCAAACATTAAACTAAGCTTCTTCGTGAGACAGACAGGATGTATCCCCCAATAACAGGATGGTTTGCATTTTATCATTATAGTGTAATGTTTTTTTCCAGAGCACTTTTGTTCTTATTCCTCTGGTGGCACTCAGAGTGACATTTCCATATGTGCAGCACTGGTGTGCAGGGCACTCCAAGGTGACTTATTTCAGTAAAGGATTCCCTTCCTGACTGAACCCATTTGTTTAGATCTTTGCCTGGTCATACAATGTCTGCATTAACACTGAAGTATTCATTTCTTGGAAAGTGTTAAAATCTAATATGTACATGTTGATTTTTTTTTTTTTTTAATGTGCTCCTGGGGCTTTTTCATCTCTGCCAGAATTAAGTGCAAAGGGAATTTTTACAGCCAACTTGTAAATTCCTGACAAGAGGAGTTTATAATATAAGTGTTGACATAACCTTACCTACAGTGACAACTGAAGCAGGTTTGTTAGGGAAGCAGCAAATAATTTCCTTGCAGGAAGGCAGGAGTTGGGCATAGAAGGTGAGGCAGCTAAATTTTTTTCCCTGAGAATCCCCAGAGGCTATTGTGTGAGACAGCACGTGAAATGAAGCTGAAGCAAATCGCATAGCAGGGAGAAGAAACTCTCTGGAATTTGCTCATTTTCATGAAGAAGGTGCAGTTATCCTCTTATAATTTTTTTTACAAGCTGTGTTTCTCCCCACAGAGGTAATCATGAAGGTCTTACAGCAAGTCAGTGCTTGCTTTTAGCCTTACAGCTCTCTTACTTTTTTCTTTCTCCCTGAACACCTAAGGCAGTCAGGAATGAACTCCGGTGCCTCAACTCTGTGCCTTCAACAGGAGCAGGAACAAGCCCTTTGTTTGCAATCCGTCTGTCTCTTATAAGTAATAATGTTTTTAAAGCCACTAAATCTTATTTCCTTGAGTCACCTGCAAGAATTCAAAACCTGAGAATTTAACCACCCAGCAATAGATGGACAAGCCTTTGTGCAGCCAGGCTGAGCCACAATAAACACTGCTGTCACTTAAATGAGAACCAAACCTACTGATAGAAAAAGGTGATTTTAACTTAAACCTGAAGCCAAAGGAGCATATGTAGAGTTGATTCTTAGGGCCTTTATTTCCCCAAAATCAGCAGAGTTTTTTTTAAATACGTGTCACTTCTGTCCTGGACAAGGGGAAGAGAAGTTTTCCAACTCTTCTTGCAGGTATAAAATCAGGCTGTATTCAGAAGTAAAAGTGCCTCTCCTCCACTTTCTTACACCCCTCTGCTGGCTACAACTCTCCCTTGAATCTTTGGGTTTAACCTCTAAATGGTATCCTATTTCCCAAAAGGTTTAACAAAACCTTTCTTACGCCTTTGCTGTGATGTTTATGTGTGGAGGCAGTGCCCATTGGCAAGTGGCATCAAGATTTACTGTGAGCTGGCACACTGCAGAGCCTGGGTGCTGGGATGGGGCAATGCCTGATTTCCTCCCTGCTCAGCCTCTGCCCTACCCTGGCATGTTTGGCAAAATCCTGAAGTAACTTTCCTGGAAAGGTGAAAGGTCAAGGGACAGAGCATTCAACATAGACTAAATAAAATAAGCAGTTGAAAGCAGAGAAAAGGACAGCTCTGAAATGGGAAAGCCAGAACTAAACCCCCTCTGTATTTCCTTATTATCCTGGGACAGTTGTGACCCACAGTGTGCAATCAAAGCACAGGAGCTGCTGCTGAGGGCAAGGGGGGCTGAACAGCACTGCTGAATGCATTCTGGGAGTGCTGATGGATTTTTAAACCTTTTCACTGCAGTGTGGTTGGAAGGGCAACATGAGCTGGTCTGGCAGGATGGCAGCGACAGGGGAACATTAACCAGTAAGCGACCAGTTTGCACAAAACGTACAGAAAAGCAAAGACTGCAGATTGTGCATTTCCTTCTCCCTTCCCTTTAAAACAATAAAATTTTTTGCCCCTATTCTTTTGTTTTAATACATGTTGAAATACAACCCCTAGCTCTTAGACACTGCCAGAAAACCTGGCGGAAATACTTCACTGGGAGCCATAGCCACGAGCTGGAGGATATGGAAAACCATCACTTTTTCCCCTGGCAAACCAAACACTCATCGGGGACGCGAGGCGCCAGCGAATGTCTCTGCTTTTTTCCCAGAAAGTTCAGGATTTTCTGTCAGGATTTCCGCTCTGGATGCCCCTGTGTGTGTGAAAGGCGAGCTGGCCAGCCCCTGAACCACGCTGGAGCGGGATCCCGGAGCGGCTGTGCCCCGGGAGAGCCGCTCCAGGCGCTTGTTCAGGAGTGCCCTCTGCCGGGATCCGCCCGCCGGCCTGGGCCGTGGCCACCGGCAGCCACAGGGCGAGCTCGGAGCGCGGCCCGGGCCGTGTGCCCTCAGCGCCGCCGTGCCCTGCCCGTGTGCCCTCAGCACCGCCCTGCCCGTGTGCCCTCAGCGCCGCCCTGCCCGTGTACCCTCAACACCGCCGTGCCCTGCCCGTGTGCCCTCAGCACCGCCCTGCCCTGCCCGTGTGCCCTCAGCACCGCCCTGCCCGTGTGCCATCAGTACCGCCCTGCCCTGCCCGTGTGCCCTCAGCACCGCCCTGCCCGTGTGCCCTCAGCACCGCCGTGCCCGTGTGCCCTCAGCACCGCCCTGCCCTGCCCGTGTGCCCTCAGCACCGCCCTGCCCGTGTGCCCTCAGCACCGCCGTGCCCTGCCCGTGTGCCCTCAGCACCGCCCTGCCCTGCCCGTGTGCCCTCAGTACCGCCCTGCCCTGCCCGTGTGCCCTCAGCACCGCCCTGCCCTGCCCGTGTGCCCTCAGCACCGCCGTGCCCTGAGCAAGGCCACGATGGAAACGGATTCGGCTGTGCGCTCTTATATCCGCCGCACTTTAAACCGAGGAACGCCGCCCCGCCCGCTGAACGCTGCGTCTGGGTGATATTTATACACATTTAGCCTCAGGTCCCTCGCTCTCGCAAAAGGGTATGTATGGTGTGTAGAGTCGATTTATACCAGAAATGAAATGAACAAGGGGCAGAGGCTATTGGTGATAAGTAGGTATTAGGACTGTGGTTTCCATCTCATGTTCCTAAATGAGCGTAGTGACACAAAGCATTGTCAGCAACAAATTGGCAACATCCAGCACTGCTGTGTTTTGTTCTGTGGTTATGGGGCTATTGGGACTGCTTTCTCCAAATAGTCTTTTAAATTTTAACAGAATCTGCCTCTATAGACAGCTGCTGTGTTATCTGTATCAGGATACAGAGCTGACATTGCCACTGTTACCCAGAAATATTTTTCTTTTTCCTTCTTTTTTTCACATTTCCCTAAAACTGTCTTCGATACCAAGCTGATGTGATAGCAGTGTGTGAAGGAAAAGCTTAGGTGGCAGTTCTGGGTTGGTCAGGGGGGTGATGAGGCATCCCCTTGGCTTTCCAGATGAGATAAAGGCTCAAAAATCATTCACTGAGGACAATGTAGATGTTTTAGCCTAGCTCAGAGCAGGATGGGCAACCTCATGTCCTCTTCCAGATCTTTGTTATGAGGCATAAGAACTTTTTATGTCAAAGGCTTTTATCTTCTGTCCAGACACTCACTTTCATGAAACATATGGGAACTTAATAGCTTTGAAACATTTTCCTAGAAATTGGCCATCCAATTGAAACATTACTGGGACAGGGAACAGGCAGACAAAATTACTGTACAGTCCTCATTTTTACTGGAAGCCGAATACTGAGGGGTTGTTGCAGGTTTGATCTAAATAAGGACAGGAACTCTGCAGTCTTGTGTCTGTGAGTGTGTCATATGCTTTGGCATGTTGTACCTGTTGGTGAAATCTGAAATATTCCTGGCATTTCCTGATAATTCTGTGTTAAATTCTTTC